CGGTCTGTGAGTTCGAGCCCCGTGTCGGGCTCTGTGCTGACAGCTCAGAGCCTGGAGCCTGTTTCGGATTCTGTGTCTCCCTCTCTCTCTGACCTTCCCCCATTCATGCTCTGTCTCTCTCTGTCTCAAAAAATGAATAAACATTAAAAAATTTAAAAAAAAAAAGGAAAGAAAAAGAATCTTAACCTCTGAGATTCTGATCACCCAGAGAACCCTTGCTGTAAAACTCAGTTGATTCCCTTTGTCAGCCCTTAAGCAGGATATGTAGTTGTGATAGGTAGTCTGAACTCCAAGAGGTTGTCAAAATAAGACATATTGCATTGTCTCTTCTTCCTATAGTCTATCAGTTGATCAATTTGGCAGGTCTTTCGGTATGTGAAATGTGATTCTACCTCTAGGAAACTATCCTACAAATTATAGGATACTTATAAAATAATTTTCAATTATCAATAATGAGTGTGTTCAATGTTTTATTTGTGAGAGAAAAAAATAGAAGCTGCCCTATGTCCAACAAGAATAGAATGGTTAAATGGACAGTATATAGCCATTAAAAAGAATGAAATTGATCTCCATGTATGAAAATGGAAAGGATATCAAGACAATGTGTTAAGATTTTTTAAAAGGCAAGCTGTAAAACAGCATTATTCAATAGAAACAGAATGCAAACCACACAGGAATTGCAAACTTCCTAGTAGAAGTATTTTAAAATGTAAAAGAAGTAGGTGAAATTAGTGATTTGACCCAAAATGTCCAAAATATTATTTAAGCATGTAATCAATATAAAATTATTGATGAGATATTTTACATTATTTTCATATAAGTCTTCAAAACCTGATGTGTGTTTTACACCAACACCACATCTCACTTTAGACAAACCACATTTCATGTACTCAATAGCTGCTTTTGACTAGTGGCTGTAATAACGGACAGTGCAGCTATATAGAACAAATTTGTAGTATCTATGTTTTCAAACAACTTTAAAACCAGCTATGTAAGTATTAAGTATTGTATAGAAACAGAAAACACTTGAAAAGATATACAAGAAATGGCTAAAGCAACCATCTGTATGGAGTGGAGTTGTGGGAAAAGGTGTTCAGAGTTTAGTTTACAAACAT